TCTTGTGGAAGTTGCAGAATCTGTAGTTTTTAGAAATAATGATTTTTCTATTATTTTCTTTTCAAAACTCTTTGCCAATGAAAACGTTAGTATCCTAGGATATATAGTTACAGATACATGTAAGTTTATAGCAATAATTGTTGTTTTTAATTTTATAGGGTCAAATGTAAAAAAAATTACATATCCCCAGGGATATGTACCGCACACAGAAGAAGTTTTGTTACATATCCCCGAAGATATGTATCGCAGTCACGGACAAAGTACATTGAGATTATCTCGCAGTCAACGTGTTAATTAGAATTGAACTCATTAAGGCCTGTATAGGATCGTTTTTTTTATTTGCATAATTTCGATGAATGATTTTTCTTATTTCACCTACTCACAGTTAGCTAAGCTTTTTTTTACTATTAATAGCTCTTCACATAGAATCATTATTCCGTAGTAATGTCTTCTTTTTATTTTCAGAACAAATTATCAAAGGAAGACGATTGTCGAAGCACTATAAACCCGTCAGAGGTGTCAGCGTCAGCTTGTACCCCAATGCCAAGCAGTACATTCAGCACTCCTACAAGCACCTTAATTTCCACTCCAAAAACACCAGTCCGAAAGACTAGAACGCCGGATGCTAATAATAAACCGTAATAAACATTAAGCTAATATTTTAAATAATTCTTGTTCACTGAAATGGTTTTTCAAACGGGTTACTGCATAACTAACATTTTTTATAACCGTTTAATATTTAACAAATAATCATTTTGAATGTTTTTGGTGTCTCGTAGTATTTAAGTTAGTTTAGACATATACTTTTATTTTAAAACTATATATATGTAATTTTGGGCGAGTACTTAATGCCACATTTGTTTGAATGTAGTAAAATGATTGGGTTAGTTATTGAGGAGTACCGTTTTCTAAAATATCTTGCATTTGGGACTCGCCCATATAATGTTTTTCAGTATTTTATATATTTTTTATTTGTTGTGAGTTTAACTTGATCTATGTATTTTTTATTTATAAACTAACAAAAGGCTCTACTGTTACTTCTCTGTGATAAACATTTTGTGGAAATTATAGCACGTTAATATGTTAAAATAAATATTAAAGCCATTCTTTTCGTTTCATGAATCGGAACACCAGCAAGTAAATTTGCTAGAGTAGCACTTGGGCAAAAACAAAGCCTTCACAAATGATTACAAGCCACGTGACTGCCGAGCTTAGCCAAACAACATTGAACGGCTGGTCATGTCAACTAAAAATTCCTAAGAATCCTAAGTCTTAGAATCACCAATATTAATAATTCGTTTACAATGAACAGTAACAAACCGTTACGTCTACGCTCGAGATAATGCGATCACCGATTGGTTGAATAAAATCTCTTGAACAATTACACTTTTGTGAAAGAATTATACAGCGCCATCATGTGATCTATAGTTTAAACTTCGGCCGCAGTTTAAGTAATCTGAAGTTTAACCCGAACATACAGGGTGTCCCAGTGTCAACGTACAAAAATTTACCAGGGGGTAGATTAGACCGAAATAACATTAATATTCTTATAAAATATTTTTCTGCGATGCACTCTCACTGAGTTACAGGGGGTTGTTTAGAAAAAAATTATAATTTTCCGCAATAACTCAAAAACCTTTTCAAGGATTTAAGTAATTTTTGCGTGAAGTGTACATCTATTAAAGGTCATTAAAACTACATGGTGGTTATTTCGATCTGACGCCAGGGGCGGCCTAGGCCAACTTGTCCTCAAGGTTATGTCTTCATAACTTTTGCATATCCTAGTTTTATGTAATTTGATTACGTTTTCCTAAACCTGAAATCGATTCTGAACAAAAAATATGCTCTTGTTTCATAGCTCAAAAATGAACCGTTTTCGAGTAAATTGGGTCTAAATTAATTCATAGAAAAATGCATGTAAAGATTTTATTTGTTGTTATCTAGTAGGTACCCGTCATGATAAAAAACAAAGTTGTTTACAAGCGTACGTGTCAAAATTAATTACAGTACTCGAAGTTACAAGAAATTAAGTTTACAAAACGACAAGATATTAAGTATTATGGAATTTTCCAACAACGAACATGCCGACATGATATTTGTTTATGGTTTCTGTGATGAAAATTCATTGATGGCCTCACAAATCTTTACGAGAAATGCTATAAATAATTTAAAAAATTTTCATGTCTGATCCATTGAAAATCCGCATGTGATATGACCCTCCGCGTTTCAAAGAAGATTCTTTATAAATGTCTGGGGAGGAATCTTCAACGCAGTCATTCTGCCTCTTCAAATTATTGTAGATCGTTTGAGAAGTCTGAACTTTAAAAAAAGAATTCAACACTGCAATTTTTATTGCGGAGATAAATAAAAGAATTCGCAGTGTAATTTTTATTACACATAAACATCGTATGTCCAACATGGGAATTACAACAAAAATAGGGAAAATTAAAATCGCGTAAATTAGCAATTAGCGGGCTTAGTAGACGCGGTCTTGCGGCTGCTGTAACACCTCCTGGACTTCGACGGGTCGTGTGATTTCGGGGTTATTGAACTGTGACAATAACAAAAATTATTAAACGCATATTTTTGGATTAAAAATTAAAAATTTATGCTATATTTAGATATGCAACAACAATTTGATAATACAAATAGACATCGCGACGTTCAACGTGAGGCGAATATGCAATTAAATAATAATGATACGAGTCGATGTCAATAGAAAATATAGTCGACAATATAATTTTGCAATACGCCGCCATTTCTTTTTTTGTGGTCTGGATGGCAGGTATTTGTTGAGCACCCCAACAGTTATTTTTTCCTGTAGTTTTATCCAATTTCAGTCAAATTTGTACTTTTTATTTAATTCTGAAAATTTTGTACATTTTTCTTTTTACCGCTAATTTTGCAATATAAAAAAAATTTTGCGAACTTTCGCAAAAGCCTACCTATGTAGAAAATTTCCTTAGGAACAAAATCAATAAGCATACCTCATGTCGATTAGAGGCTTATTTTCGGAGATATAAGCGAAAAACTGAAAAAAAGCAATTATTTTGTTATAAACAATATGACGCTCGACCTCTACAAATACACAAATTTAGGCTTTTATTCTGTGTATTTTTTACTTGATTTTAAACCCATAAAATTCGAGGTAGGCCCGATTTTTGAAAAAAAAATCTAATTCGCCCAGACTACTAGACTTATTTTTATTCATTATTAAATTCCTCAAGTCTTTAAAATTAAGAAATAAAAAGTTGTCATTCTGGGAACAATTGTTTATACAAATTTTGACTTTTTTTATGAACAAGTATTTGTAGAATAAGCTTTACAAGTCGATTTTTCAGAGCACTATATTTCATTTTTGCAAAAAGTATTTTGTTGTAAAAAAGTTTTTTTTCTGTTGAACCCAGATCCACTACAACTGCAGGCTAATTATATTTGAAATCGCATTATATTCGAAAGAAGCGCACCTGCTAGAGCTGTCAGCTTCGAGTCAGCCAATACATGTAGCATGCGCGTACTCCCCAAATTTAATGCCTTCCCCTCTCTTGCTTAGTAATTGTACAAAACATGACATATATTTATTTAATTTTATTAAGCAATAGCATAAAATCTCAATGTAAAATTTCCTTGGGAACACGATGGTGTAATTATTTTTTTGCTACTTGCTGTAGTTTACGAGATATTTGCGAAAAACCTTATTTTTTACGTTTTGACCTTTTGACCCCTTGCCTGACCACCTAGGTCAAAAATTTTTGCGGATTCGGATTCCTGAGGGTCGAAAACATATTTACGCCCAGGTTTTATCGACAGAGGAAAAAATTGAGGTTCAGCCTTCATTTCAATGGACTAAATAGATACAATATTTTATATATATTTTATGCCTATACATATTATTCCCCAAACGTAATTAGTAGCAAGTTTCTATATATTTTAGTAATTAAGCAGTGTTTTTTAAGTTAATACGACTCACCAAAGTAAAAAAATAATTCAGGTTAGGTATATATTTTTACTGAAAATAGCAGTTAATTTATATTATCGGATCGTTAATGTGAAAATATAAACATTAGACTGTTGACTATTCCATGTTATACGTGTTTTAAGGTCACTTTTGAAAAAGAAACATGTAATTTTAAAAATCGTATTTCTGCTTTTATAATGAAGGAATAGTAATTATAAGATTGTTTAAGCTTATTAACTAAAAATTATTGTCTACTTAATAAAAAAAATATTATTGTCCTCAATAATCTATTACTGATTAATAAAACCTTTACTCTCTTTCCTTACAAGATATACAATCTTGGAGCCGTTCCTGAAAAATCGGGCGAATATCCGTCCAGCGTAAATTATTACTTAGACTTGAAGCGTTGGCCGCTAGAGCAGCACCTGCCGGGGTCCAGTTTCGTGACTCACTCTGGGCGATATTTTTTGTACAAAATCCCGTCCTTAAGTTTATTTAAGCTTAAAATTGTTTTATACTAAAGATAACTCTAAAAATAACAGAAATATTGTTAAATCAGAATAATTAAACCTTCTTTATTATTAGATTAAGCAGTAATAAAAATAAATATTTATCAGTTAGATATATTGTATTCTTGACCACCCCTTTAATGATAAGCTGGCGTCGCCACTGGAACTGTACAGGCAAGCATCAAGGTAAGATGTAGCATCTGTAGGAGCTTTTAGGCGGGTAACTTTGGCGGTTGCTTTGCCACCTGGATGTTCGACAGGTCATGTGTTCAGGCCTAGTATTGAAACATAAGTTTGATCTCGGGTGTATCCAACCGCAAATTTTTTTAAATGCATATTTTTCAATTAAAAAAGAATATATTCAGATTCAGATATACAAAATAATGCAGTAATGCATGCATGATGTCCAAGGTGAAACAAACGTGCTACATGATATTCATAATAATACAAATCGACGACAAACTTCTGCAATAAATAAAACAATAATATTACATGTGTAAATATTTTATTCAATACGTTAATATAATAAATAATAAAAAATTTAAGACTTAAATATCGCCAAATATAATTATAGCTGCGTAATAAATAAATATTCATATTTTAACTTTCTCGCATAACTCTAACCTTATAAAATACAAAATATCCTCAGCGAACCTATATAGAATATTAAAAGTTCATCAACAATATATTTATATAAAATACAACAAATCGGACACATCGGTACGCACGGGTGTAAAACAAACAAACGCCAGCAATTCGTAAAAGCACTGGGAATGTATCTTTTTAATATTCACATTTATTTGGTTACTACTGGTAAGAAATGTTAATATTCATTATTGTTTTATAACTCAGTCTTGGTACAATTTCCTTCTTGTGAAAAAATAAAAAAATTCAATACAACTACAAATACATTAATTACACTTTACTACCTGCGAAGTGGCCATACTCGTACCTAAATTCTATTGTGACATTTAAATATTTTTTTTTAAATCACGATATTTCTCACTTATGTCCCTGATTTAAAAAAAAAATAACACATAAAGAAATAAAAATTCAAGGAAACAATACAGCGATTTCTAAAATATCACAAGTGTCAAGTGGAAGTAGCCTTTGTCAAGGACCCTCATCTAAATTCAATTGGCCAAAAATGTTGCAACTGTGATGTATCCACCTTGGATAGTTTATAACTATGATCTAACTTGATGAAATTAATGTTTAGTAAACACAGACAATTAAAGAAAATTACCGTCGGTTCTTTTTATTGAAAAAGCAGATGTTTTTAGGCCAATCAAGTGAGCAGTTTACAGAACATATTTAATTTTGTTCTAATCGCTATTACTACATTAAATAGCACCTTCATAGTAGCAGAATTTGAGACATTAACAAGCCACTTAAAAAAGTAAGAGAGCGGCCACTCTACATCCTGACTAACAAGGACACAAAAAAAATTCAACAGCTTCGGGAGATATAAAACAAATCTGCTTAAAAATTAAAGATTAATAGAATGGTTTATATATTTTTATTAGCAATTGCGATACGTTTAGATGTACAAGTGAGCGTATTAGGGAGGATAGGGGAATTTTAAAAAATAGTGCCGCCACTAAATGTTACTTTAACACCGGAAAATTTGTTAGAATGATACCTAAAAAGTTAACGGGTCTCAGCTGGATTCTGGAACAAAAATTTCGATACTTTCTCTGGGTTTGCTTTGCTGCGCCTTCATGGCTTTGCGGCGTTCCTCAATCATCTTCTTGCGCTCGGCCTCGCGCTGCTTTCTGGCCTCCTCATTTGCAGCTGAAGTAGGCCTTGGACGACTCACAGTCTTTTTCGGTTTTGCAGTACCATTTGTGTTTACCTTCTTCTCCACCTTTGCGACCTGTAATAATAACATCAAAATATTTATCAATTACTTCTCATGATCAATTCATATGGTAATTTTAGAAACATTATATATTATAGATTTAATTAAAATGCATCATTAATATTGTAAGATTAAAATATAGAAAAATCATTTACAAAAAACTAGTCAAATTTGTAAATTAAAGAAACATTCCTAAAGTAATATCGACGATGTACTACTACTCTTAAAACTTTATTTCTTTTATACAGTTGCGGTTATACAAGGTGTGTCCCAAAGGTATTCGACCTGCGTTCATAACTCCACGCTGGCATTATTCTTCATCATCCGGTGAACGTTTTAAGTTTTATCATAAAAATAGGTCAGACAAAAACCGTAGATCATCTATAAAAATTGTTCTTATACTTTTTTCCTAAATATCATCATTTCTGAGAAATAGCGATTCAAAAAGTTGAAAAAGTTGCGTTCTCCATAATATGCACACATTTCCACGCACCTGTGAGATGTTGGCGCATTTTTTAACATAGTTTCCCCAGTTTCCCCTATTCCACGATCTATTGTGGTCCTGTTTAATTAAATAATATTGTATTAAATAAAAAATGGTACTATTGGAAATGATGCAATGAGCAATGCATCAGATGTGTCCTCCAACGGAATTCGTTTCCTTCTTTCTGTATATGGAGCTCCAAAAAAAATTACCTGCTTAGATAAGTTTCGATACTCATCTTTTATAAAAAATACTCATAACAATAAACGAGTGCAATTAGCTTGTCTTCCCCTAACCTCTGCTTCTGCTCATCATCATCTATTTCGGATATATTATCAAGTTCAAGTGTGGCTTGGTAATCAACTGGGCCCAGAAGAAGTTAATTGACAATACATTGGAACCAATCCAGACTTTACTCCCACCTGCACCGTAAAGACTCCTCAATACAATTTTTTGCAATTGCAAAAAGGAGTGCTGTGCGGCTGCAAAAAAGTTGGATTATTTTGTTCATTAGCATGTACCAGTTGTCAAAGCCAGTCGTGCTCCAATGTTGAATCGCCATCAGAAGAGGATTCTTACAATATCAGCGAGGAGACACCTGATGCATCTCTGTTAGAACAATCCAGCAGGAAGAACAAGAAGGAAGAGAAGAAGAAGACATTACACTTGAAGTTCCAATCAGACAAATAGTTTTCCCCAATTATTCATAATTCATACCGCTTTCATCATTTCTAGTAGTACCGTTTTTTATTTAATACAATATTATTTAATTAAACAGGACCACAATAGATCGTGGAATCGTACACTACCTTACAGGTGGCGTGGAAACGTGTGCATATTATGGAGAACACAACTTTTTCAACTTTTTAAATCGCTATATCAGAAATGGTGATTCTTAGGAAAAAAAGTGTAAGAACAATTTTTATAGACATTTGCATGCAATTTTTGTCAGACCTATTTTTCTCATAAAACTTACCGTTTGGTTGAAAAATATAAAAAAAACATATTTGCGAATAAATTTTTGGCAATTGTGGGATCGATGTGAACTTTTCACATTTCATTATACATTTATAATGGTGTTCCCAACATTCATACCAATTTTCAGTTTTATGCGAATTATTGTAGCTTACCCCTATTTTTGAGCTAATTTGACTGTGTTATGCTGTCTTTGAATAATAGTAGCATTATACTATTTTTTTATTGTATAGAAAACTAAAACACAGAATTTCCTCAACTGTTTAGAAGTCTGTTGCGATTTAATTAACCCTTTTTATGCTGTCTTGTATTTCCATTCAACACGTCTCGTTTAAAATGTAATATGTAGTTGAAAGGTTTATATCATATTTTCTATTTACTTAAGGGCGCCGTTTTATAGACAAGAAATAGTACATTTGGTAAGACAGCGATAGCACCTGATAGATAGTAGAAAATCCATCCAGGAAGTGACGGTCTCTACTAGCGTAATGCCAAACAGAACAACTTCGTAATACCACAAAACAATCGACGTAAAGATTTCTTTAATTGGTAACTATATATTCTCAGGACATTGGTAAGCCTATTATCGTCCAGAGCCGTCAATGAAAATATGTGCAATGAACAAGAACTGTCAAATAATTTTAATATTTGCACAGAAAAATAATATAATAACCTAGTGTTTTAATAAAATATTGGATGTGGAAACAGAGGAATACTTGATACTATCAAAAATTTAATAATTTATTATAGTGTTTACGAAGATAGTTGAAACCGTATAAAAAATAAGTCAGCATCTCTTTATTGTGCCCGGAAAGAGATGCCGACTTTTAGTTTTTATACGGTTTCAACTATCTTCGTAAACACTAGATATACCAAACAACTTTTTTGACAAAAATTTCAAATTCCCCAGATTCTTTATTACTGGGCATGTCGAATGCTCATTTTATACCCTTAATGTTCTATATATTTTAATTTCATTTAACAGACATATTTGTGAAATATTTGTGATTATTATCATTATGTTGGAAGTATGGAAACATTGTGGTAAAGACAGTTTTAATGATTTTAAATAACAATGCAACTGTATTCCAGACAATTAAAATGTACAGAAAAATTTCATTATTTTTCTTAAAAATATATAGATAAAATATGTTATGAATTATAATTAATGTAGCATTAAACACCCTGGACCTATTGGGAAATATAAAATAGGAGAAAAATAGAAATAAAAAAAAAACAAAATAGTTTATTAGATCCTCTGGTAAATATTTTCATAATTTATTAATTGTAGTTCATTATTCATTTCATATTTATTTCAAAATTGTACCAATACAAAGAGCACGTGTTCGTGTTTACCGGCCGACAGACCAGTTTTTTTTGTTGCAAATTAGTCCAAGCATTCTGTCACGGATTAAGTAATGTTAAATTTGCAGAAATTATTACCTGGACAAAAAAAATATGACCGTATAAAAAAATAAATTCTAAATCGAGGTTCTTGTTCTTTAAACTCAATCCAAAATGGCAAATATGGTTAAAAAAAATCGCAAGGTTGCAAAAAACGGTTTTTCTAAAATAACTGAAAATTATAGCACCGATCGAAAAATTTTAAATGAGAAAGTTGTAGGTTTTAAACAGATCTATCGACTGATTTTGACGAATGTTGACGATTTTATTAATTTTAAGGATCAAAATATGACTGAAAAAGTTGCACTTTTTTTGGATGTTTTTTTTCAAATAACTATTTCAATTTTTATTTTATGAAAATGACTTTTATAAAAAGAAACTGCAGACATTTTTTCATGAATTTAAAAAAAAAATGTTTTTCTACGACCTTCTGGAGCCGAGATAATTTTTTTATTTAAAAAAAAATTTTGAAGACGCAATTAACATTTTTTACAGCGATGCGCTTGATGGAGGTTAATATTCAATATTTATATTTTCAAAAAAAAAAAAATAGGATATGTTTACTTGATTTTTAGTACCTATTAGTAATTAAGTAATAAAGTGAAGTGTGCAAGCGCTGAGTGCGTCAGCTGGACCGGCCAGAGAAGTAGGGGGAAGCGGCGCGCGCTCGCTCTGAAAACTGATGACGTGCAGTCTGTTTAGTTTTTATTTAACTTACATTTTTTATACTTTTATTATACTTCCTCACGAAAATATGTAAGACGAATAAGAAAATGAATCAAAAGAAAATCCGACAAAGAAGAATCTCATTCGATAAATAATTCGTTTTTATTGTAATAATTTTATAGATATTTTATACATAGTTGTATAATTATTAAATATTTTTGTAAATAAATTAAATTATTTAAACTTATTTTACACCAAAATTAATTAATTATTGAAATGATGAAGTAATTGTTAAAAAGCCAGCAACAAGTCAGTATGATTAATAAAGAAAAAAAATGAAGGTATTACACGAAAAATACTGTAATGTTATTAATTATTAAAATGACGATATGTGCAAAAAATATAAGTTAAATAGAAACTAAACATTTACGGGACTTTTAAGGCGAAAATGACTGTAATATTCGTGTTTAGCTACCCCAGATTAAGTACAAAAGAATTTTTGTAAGTGGTCCAGAAGCCGAGATATCAAAGATTTTGAACGCGCGAGACATTTAGACTGCACGTCATCAGTTTTCAGTGCGAGCGTGCGGCGCTTCCCCCTACTTCTCCGGCCGGTCCAGCTGACGCACTCAGCGCTTGCACGCTTCAGTTTATTACTCAATTACTAATACCAAAAATCAAGTAAACATATTCTATTTTTTTTTTGAAAATATAAGTATTCAATATTAACCTCCATCAAGCGCATTGCTGTAAAATGTTAATTGCGTTCTAAATAAAAATATTATCTCGGCTTCAGAAGGTCATAGAAAAAAATTTTTTTTTTAAATTCCTGAAATATGTCAGCAGTTTCTTTCTTTAAAAGTCATTTTTATAAAATAAAAATTGAAATAGTTATTTGAAAAAAACACCCAAAAAAAGTGCAACTTTTTTAGTCATATTTTGATCCTTAAAATTAATAAAATCATTTTTTAACAGCATGATAATATAACTCTTTACGAAGAAAATAAACCAAACATCGTCACTGTAGGGCTATCCGCTGAGAAGATCTAGCCAATTTTCGAGAGCACCTTTTTTTCAAAAAATCGATATATTGAAAAATAATTAATATTTTAAAATTTTTCAAAAATGTACTTTTTTGGCTTGCCGTGGGCTATGCTTGCAGTAAATAGCAAGTAAGGGAACGTAAATGTAAACGAATTAAAGAGAAAAGAGAAGATTTTTAACGGTTTTTTCGATATATCTCCAAAAGTAACAAAGCAATCGGTACTTACAAAAAATCAGTCGATAGATCTTTTTAAAACCTACAACTTTCTAATTTAAAATTTTTCGATCGGTGCTATATCTTTTTAGTTATTTTAGAAAAACCATTTTTTGCAACTTTTCGATTTTTTTTAACCATGTTCGACATTTTGGATCGAGTTTAAAGAACAGAAAATCGATTTAAAATTTAATTTTCTATACGGTCACATTTTTCTTCCAGGTAATAATTTCTGTAAGCATTTCTCTATAATGCTTGGACTAAATACTTATAGCCTAAGAGCTGGCGTGATTTTTTCCCATCATTTGTACCAAAGGATAAGCACATTAATGTTGAAATTGGTTTAAAGTGAACAAATATCACTATGTATGGCCGGAGGCGGCTACTCAAACTTGTTTTTTTTTTTTTCAAAAACTCCTTGATTTGTACCACCTGCAGACTATGAAATTCGGCTTTAGGAATACAATTTGACCGCAAAAGTGAATGACAGACAAAAAAGTCGATAGCGTTTCTTAATTACAGCCAATAAAAGGGTTCCGTCGTAAACATCGTAGCGGTCTGTGAGTGCAAGCGAGATGGGTTCAGGCTTGCAAACGCGCAAGGGACGGAGAATCATATATTATTCTTACATTGCACGCATGTTTAGTGGCTCTGTAAATAGATTTGTAAGAAAATAAATATAAGCAAACATATATTTTATTGAAACTTAACATTCAGTAATAAGAAAACTAAACATTATACACTTTGAAATAAAAAATATGAAAATTTTACTTATACTATTACGAGAGCCATACTTCCAGCGTAAGCGTGTGTATTTTTTTCTAAACATTGTTTATTTTAGCAAACCTGCATGTCGGCCTAATAAAGCTTTTTATTTTCGTGGTATTCAAAAAAACGTGGCGGAAGATTAACGAGCATGCGTTGTATTGCTTAACATTTTAATTTACATTTTTGATAAAATATTAAATCAAATGTAGAGCTTCCTTATATACAGAGTGTCTCATAATTAGTGTCCAATAATTTATCACTTGATTATATAGCCAAAAATAAGAATATGTTTTCAAATAAACATGGGTCGAGAGATGCTTCCTAAGGGATCTACGCTCCCTAAATGGGGGCCTCAAAAAATTCATTTTTTTTAATATTTTCGAAACGGGTTCAAGGAAAATTATAAATTTTGACATAATTGACGCTCATTAAAAGATCGTCATAAAATTTTAATCGTCGGCTAAAATTTGCCTCTATTTTTTTACTTGTCGAAATTTTCAAGTTCATGTTTTCATGCCAACATATGATAGATATTCATTTCCTTTACAAAAGAGGTACTCTTTAGTTCTTTGGATAAAATGCTCCATTTCCGAGAAAAACGAATTTAAGCAATTCATTACGTTACCTTAATAAAATTCAAAAAATTTGTCTTGAATGGCTAAAATGGGCACATGTACCATTATGAATTTTCATATGTCATCATATGAATATACATTGTAATAAACAACGTGAAAAGTGCTTAGAAAACTTTGTTATGGGCCGTCCCGAGCAAGGGGAGGGGGAGAATCGAATTTTTGCATGTTGCATTTGTTGCTATAAAATTTGATTGATCTGAGTTTTCTATGAAAAATGGTGATGTTGTTTTGATCAGAATTTGAAAATTTCGGCAAACAAAAGCAATAGGGGCAAACTTTAGCCGACGACCCCCCCCCAATTGAGATGATTAAAATTTTTGAAAAATTTTATGATAATCTATTTCGACTTTTAAGAGCGTTCATGGTATCAACATTCATAATTTTCCTTCAACCCGTTTCGAAAATATTAAAAAAAAAATTTTTTTTGAGGCCCTATTTAGGGGGTGTAGCTCCCTTAGGAAACATCTCTCGACCCATGTTTATTTGAAAAAATATTCTTATTTTTCGCAATATAATCAAGTGGTAAATTATTGGACACTAATTTTGAGACACCCTGTATATAAGAAAACTCTACATTTGATTTAATATTTTATCAAAAATGTTAATTATAATGTTAAGCAAATTAGTATACAACACACGCTTGTTAATCTGCCGCCAAAAAAGTACGAAATACTGATGCTATACAATCGTTATTAATTAGGCATATAATTAAGCAGTTATAGTAAAACCAAAAATAACTGTAAAAAAAAAAAATGTAACTGGTATAATCAAATACGACATTTACAAAATATTTTTAATTAGTAAGTCATCATTTCATTTGTTCACAGCGTATTTGCCTTCAGTTCCTCCTTGACCTACATTAATAATAAGTAGGTTTCTGTCATAAAAACATGCCATTTGTTTAAACACATCCAAAAACACCTTATCAGAGGCATGCCGGCGAGTTGTACTGTACACCTGCACTTTCCGAATTCCACCGTACCTCGTGACGATGCGAGAACGAATCATTTGCTTTAAAATGTGTTGTAAATTGTAAAGTATCTACATAAATCAATTACTTTTTAAACAGTGATTAATTATAAACATTTCATTTAAAAACTAATAAAACACGATCAGAAAAATTAAATTGTAAAAAATATTTTTAGGGGAACTCATTTGGCTTGCTTCTCAAGAAAAATTTAATAACTTGAAGTTACTCTTCAACAAGCAACAGTAATTATTACATACAAGATTCTGTATTCAGAATTATGGTTTCTAAAATTATATTGGATCTAATAACTAGTAAAACATACAAAAATCAATTAGTGAAAAATATTTTTAAAAAATATTAGGGAGACACTGACTCCCCCGCTTCTAAGAAAAACTGCCACTGTGTAGGAAATTTTAATTATCTTATCACGCTCCATCTTAGTTTAGACAGTCTGACTGATACCGAATGGCATTTACCTAATTCTTTCTTCTCTAGTAATTTCCTGACCGATTATATTATCTGGACTATCATCAAAATATGTGTATTAAGTATTATAATTTTTTAACTTACTTACTACTATTTAACAGTATTCGTAAGAACTCGGAATAACAGATTTATTATTACGATTATTTTACATGCAAAGCTTAATATTCCCATTTCCCACTGCCATCACATTCTTTTATATTATCTAAAATCGGCGCAAATACAACTCAAACATAATGAAGTTAGTCCGGCTCTGGTTTGGCAAAAAATACCTTAGAACAACAACTCTGACTATCGCCCTCTTTTCGATAGTATCCAAACTATGGAAATGTTGAAATACGAAGGATTTCTTCAATTGCTCGGCATGAAAAGAAAACGGATAATATAAAATATCAGAACATGTATCTTTCCTGTTTTGTCCAATTGATTTATAAAACTACTCAATAGTTCTTATTAATTCATGTATAAATAGTATCCTAAAAGCATTGTGCTGGGTGTGGGTATGTTTATAATACCGTACGCTTTTATCTGTATGTTCAACAGTCGTGTAAAGTTCAGGAAACGTAAGATAAAAAAATATGTTTTTTTTTTCTTACTTAAAATGTGTTGTCAGTTATCTCACACCCTGAAGAACACTTGTATGAGTAGTACAGTGAAGAGATATCGTTTCTAACTTGCTTAGATTTTTTAAACAATCGGACAAAAAGTTCATTGGAAATTGTGCATAAAAACGCCCCCCTTAAAATGTTGCATAGAAAAATATGTTGTTTTTTAAAAATCTTTGAATAAAAGCTTGATCATGAATATACCGGCTTTTTGTGTACCAATAATTTTTCCTCTGGTATTGTACAGAACCAGTACTTATTAAGATAAACAATATGATATGCCAGTACCGGTATAGAGAATTTTAAAAATGTCACATATTCGACTGGAAATTGCTATTTCTACTATTTATAAAAAATACAGAATTTATACATTTAAATATTCAGTATAAACTGTCCTGCCAATAAATTTTATTAATTTAAATATTTTTCCACATTTGCCAAAGAAGATAGGAACAGTAAACAATGCTTTGGTTGAAAAACCATGAAATTAAAATAATAGTAATCTGCATTATGGGTACATACTTTGCGAAAATTTTATTGGATATTAAATGGTAAAGTTAATTAAAATATAACAGAAAATTATAATTAAATCATAGTCAATTAAATTTGAATATTCGTTTCTAAAGAAATTTTTATTCTGTTTTGTGCCTCTGATAAGCTCATTTTAGCTAAATTTTTATTTACTAACCTCTTGCCAATTGTTCTTCTTTAGAGTATTGATCTCCTCAAATAACGCATCCACCTGGTCGACTTGAAGCATGACCATATCCCAGAATCCTTGCAAGTCCTCGTTTGTTGTGGGGAACGCTTCTCCAACACTCTGAAATTTCTTTATCATGTACATGTGTCTTTAAGCTATTTCTTATAAAAGATCATAATTTATTAACGAGGGGGAAAGTATTAATAAACGTTATATTTTTAATTTGCTTTCCGGAAGTCAATAATTAAATTTTATCCTAGAATATAAAATACTATTTTTTATAGAGGGTGCCCAGAAATTCATGCAACAAAATTTGGTCACAGATTCTTAAGCCAAATTTAGGGGACCCGTATTTTTTATTTTTACCAAGTTGCTACGTTTTTTGGCGGGGGAACCCCCTTAAGACAATTTTTCGTGTGCCCACTTGTCTTTGGAGCCAAAAAAATTTATTCGCATATTTAAATTTCTTAAAAATTATCAGTCCACTAGAAAGCCATTAAATTTAGAAACTTTTTGTCTCTTTATACTTTTTCGTAAAACGCAATGTTTTCCAGAAAAATATCAAAATGTGATCGAATGCATATCATGATTTGCCATTTTCCTCAAAAACATTGTATTTTACAAAACAAACATCAAGAGACAAAAAAGTTTCTAAATTCAATGGCTTTCTAGCTAACTAATAATTTAAAAAAAAAATCAAGTTTGCGACCAAATTTTTCTGGTTCCACGAAAGTGTCTTAAGGGGGTTTCTTGCCAAAAAGCGTAGCACTGAGATTCTACATGTCATAAAACCCCTGTGTACCAAATTTAGTGATTCTCGTACATGGTTTTGAGATATAAAAAATACTTCTTAGGGGCAGATTTCAGGGGGCTGTATCTCCGAAAGAGGGGGCCAGTTGGCAAAAGGAAAAGATATGGGTCCTCTAAATTTGTCTTACAAATCTGACCAAATTTTGTTGCATGAATTTTGGGACACTGTATAAAATTTTGTAAACATGTTTACTTTCTATTTTGCTTTTTGCAGAATATGAATACAAAAATGTGGAAAAACAAATTAGAAAAAAAAAAATTACATTTTTCCGAGTAAAAAAGTCGAACCATCCACATTCTGGTTCTATTCTGCTGGTGAAGAGCAACTGTGACATTTCAAACTAAGCAATAGGGTTTAGTGACAGTGCCGTTACATATGTCATCGATATTTAGAAATACAGTAAAATTATTCTATTGCTGATGGAATTGACAAGTCAAAGTAATCAATTTACAAATCTATCAGGTAATTCACACAAAATTCTATCCCAGTAACTTGTAAATGAAAAAGATTTTTTGATTCTATAAAAATTGATTTATAGAATTATTATATGATGCCAATTAAGATTTCAAGTAGAAAATTTCCAAAGTAAATTGTGGACAGTGCAAAAGTGGTTTTTATTCACATTGCCCTTAAATTGTAAGTAAAATTATTTTCTATAAATATATTTTGAAATTCCAGTACTTTTTAAGACGAATCTACTTATAATGATAGTAAAATAATAAAATTTTAAGAAATGGTAGGGAATGGGGCAAATAAACAATAGTTTTATTCCACGGATAGTGCTAAGGCCGGATAACCAAATACCCTATATCTGGCACACTTTTTGACTTCATTTTTTGAGCGTTAATAGGGCATACTAAAAGTCAAAGTTATGATGACTACGGTTTTGATTGGCAGCACAGAAAATGAGACTCAATTTCATGAAGTGTACACGAGTATTATAGTTTGCATTAATATTGTTTTAAATATAGTGCATGAAATGATAACCCATAAAACTTAAAAAAGCAAAAAAAAGCGAATTAGCCACAGAATTAGGAACTTTTGCAAGACAATACGAAGAATAACATTAACATTAAACATCAGAACAAATTAATTTAATTATTTTTATCAAGCACCATTCTGAATTTTGGAAAATGATGAGGCATACTTACGGATTTCTTTTGTACACTTTTTTATCAATATCTGTTTTTTGCGTTACTGTATTTACTTCAATGTATGATGTAGGTATTGATAAAAATGTTTTTAAAGAATCAACGAATATCTATGTATGTATCATATGATATTCTGCAGTGGTGTTACAATTAAGTTATTTAATCATAATTTCGTTAATTAACCACCTACTATTTTCACTTTTTGGTATTGAAATACTGCAGAAAATATATTTCCAAACAAACAAAGTTCGTAATAATATTTTAAACAGCTTGTAATATAATTTTTTAAATATTTGATAATGACGATAAATTTATTTAATATACAAGGTGGGTTATTAGTACGTCGCGGAATGTAAGTACCTACAGTTTACTTTTTTTGTATTTTGACAGGTTTAATAATTAAAGATAGAAAGAAACTTTAAATACAAATGTACGACTTTTCCTTTATTTCATTTGACATCAAAATTTGCTGGCATAAAATATATATGTTTAAAATAAAAAAATCATTAAAAAAATTAAAATTCATCCTTATGAAAATAACAAACAACGCTTTTTATAACTAACCTTTACAACAACATAAAGAGAATAACTAAAAACGAAATAACATTAATATACCTACAATTTTTACAAATCAACATGCAAGTGATTGTGATGATACAGTTGAAAATATGTTTCAATTTACTATTAATTGCTTCAAAAACAAATTCAAAATTATCAAGCATTTCGTCCTGCATTTTTTTTTCAATACTTGCAAATTTTCAGGTAAAAAAAAATATGTCTAAAGGACTGACAATGAGATCGGGGCTGTTTTCTGGCCACCTAAGGTTTCTAATAATATTTTTTAGTGTTCGTTGACGGGATTCTTCCTCCAAAATAAATTTGCCAATATTCCTGAAGAACTTTTGCACATTATTGTTATTTGAATAATACAGTTAATTATGTTTTATTTTTCGTCATCAGAATAACCCATTGTAATTTTTTTAATTTTTTAAATTAAAATGGGTTATTCTAATAATGATAAATCCCATGTATTTTTAAAAGAAGGTTCGTTTCTGTCGTTTTTGTCTGATTGTGTGCGAGAGAGATAGAGTTATAGTGTGCGATAGAGATAGAGTGACTCTGTCCTCATAGAGAGTTTCTCTCTCTCTCTCTCTCTGCTGTCTTCAGGAGTCTCCCCAGCAATTTCAGGACACCTAGGGAGGGAACGTGGGGTAGAGCGCGTGGCCTTGTTAAGCCTTCGTTATCGATCTATGATGTCACACAGTATAAGAAAAAAAAATGGTTTTTGCTCGTAACTCGGAAATGGCTGGAAATATAAACAAATTTCCCCTTGGTTCTGAGTAGAGCACTCGGTGGGTGACGCAGAGCGGGGTGTCACAATATATGAAAAAAAAAAAAACAGTATTTGCTTAGACTCTTAAGTATCAAAAAATCTCCCATGGTGAACAAATAAATCTCCCATGGTGAACGAGTGAAAAACGTCAAAACCCGCATGTAAAAAAAAAAATCGGGACCAACGGTGTGTGACGTCATAGGATAAAAAAGTGTTTATAACTCGGAAACGGTGCGTTGAATCGAAAAAATAATTGAAAAATGTCAACCCCTCCCTCCCGGGTTCTGTATGTTCCTTCTGCGTTGAATGCAAAAGGTCCGAAGTCCGTATGTCGAAAATAAATTCTGGAAACAAGAGGTATGTCGTGTTATAGTAAAAAGGCCGTATAACTCGGAAACGGTGCGTTAAATCGAAAAAATAATTGAAAAAATCTCCCCACACCCCTGGTTCTGTATGACAGTTCTGCGTTGAATGGAAAAGGTCCGAAGTCCGTATGTGGAAAATAAATTTCGGAAAGAAGAGGTGTGTGAGGTGATACAGTAAAAAAGGTCTTATAATTCGGAAACGGTGCGTTGAATTGAAAAAATAATTAAAAAAATCTCCCCACTACTCTGGTTCTGATTGTCCGTTCTGCGTTGAATGGAAACGGTCCGAAGTCAGTATGTCGAAAAACAAAAAAGTTAGTTAGTTAAAAATTGCAACAGCAGTAGCGAACGCATTATCTTATCTCTGTATTGATTGATGATTTTTTTTTTTTTTTTAAATAAATTTCGTATTCAACTACTCCTTGAGGTTCCAGCAATTTTACATTGTGTTAATTTTTTTGAACACCTTGTGTCACAAATATGGGCACTACCAATGACATCCATAATATGCAACACTTGTGTCAATAAATAATTATTTACCTATCTAAAGAAATCAACAATAAGAGGCAGTACCCATCTAAGGATACACAATCTGTATAATGCAATTTTTTTAAACATAGGTTTTGATATCGTACCATATTGGAAGTCGACGCACAAATCTAAAAACATTACTTTCGAGTTTTTGAATTTTCCCATTCCAAGGTGATATAAAATAAATAATTAATTAAGTAAATTCATAGTTTTAATTCTAACTCGATTTATTTTATTTAACATTTAAGGCAAATGTGATTTCCAAACATAAGATAACTTCCATATCTCTTTAATTACATAATTGAAAGCATTAAATTTATTTAGAAGTTATTATTAGGCAACAAAGCCACTGCTGGAACTGCCGCCTATTAGCAAGTAGAAGAGTTAACACGCTAAATTTTATATCTGGAAGCCGGCTAAGGAGATCCTGCTTCCATTTCGGGTTGCCAATTTCCAGCATTTAAGTAGCAGTCTGTAGCGATACGCTATATTGTCTGTGATGATATCGTACCAATAACATAACTGAGCTCTCGAAGGCAGCTTTTGAGTAAAAAAATACAAATTCATTAAATATGAATGGAAAAACATATCTATGTTGTCAGTAAAAATGTTTTTGTTAGGTTTTGATAGATCTTGAAATACACTATTTTACTTTGAATAAAAAGAAGTATTGGAATAATTTTGATCTTAATTATTTCAAATGTAGCTGGTACTACCTGAACTCTCTTCTAATATTGCACTTATTTTAAATAAAAAATATAGTTCTTTATCTACCTATTGAGTTGAACAAAATATACTTTAGCATTTGCTATAGAAAATATTTTGTAATAACTACACATATAGAACTATTCTACTGACCTGATTAATGTTATTTGTACACAGCCCTTTGAATTGTTGCATTTTTTGTGACACTAGAAGCCTGGCCTTGCCTGCGGCTGACCTTAGTTTTCCAATGATCTCTTCGGATAAATCTGGTGTTGAAATCTCACTTTCTACCCTAGCGGCCAATTGCAGAAGCCTCTCTGCCTGTTCTTCGAGTATTTTCAAGAAGTAATGGCCATCCTTCTCATCTATAAAAAAAAATGATGTAAGAGTCAATTGTCCTTAGTGTGAACGTTTAGTGATTTTTTTTTCAGAATTAGATAGGTCTTATTCTCCACAATATTGTTTTTTTCTTAACAATAATTTAATTGTTCGATTCGATGTTCGATAATTCTTTGGTCTCATGTTTGCTGGATATCCGGTACTCTCCTGCATATAATTTCCTTTTAGAAAAATAGGTTTCAAAAACAGCTCCTACTATAAATTTTTATAATTTAAAATTTATTTAGTTTTCAGCAAATTTGTTATTTTAAAAATGTTTTTTTTTTTAATATGTGTAACTGTATTTTGATTGACTAATTAATTTTATATTTTTTGAGGAGCAAAAGAAGACAGAAATCACATTTCAGTTTTTTCTTTTATATACTTACTCCAGAATCAAAACCTAACTGATTAAAAATAATTATATTTTATAGCCATTTCAACACTAAGAAAAAAAATTCGTTACCTACTTCAATTAGACATACTAACATTCCTGTCTTGGAAACCACAATAGACAAAAGATAGTTGAATCGATGTAAAATTCCAATAAGTAATAATTTTCCAACGAAATACATAAAACATTTTAGGAGTTGAAATTTTAATTTTTAGAGTTCAGCTATACTTAAGGAGGTATATCGGGGTCCAAGGGAAGTGACGTTCGCAGGGAGGGTCCTATGCTTTTCTTATGGGACTAAAACCCGCTATCAACTTAAAAAAATTAAATTCTATTGAAATTATTTGCGATAAACATTATCTATACAGGGTGTCCGGAAATGATGAGCAAAAAATTCAGGGGATAATTCTAGACCGAAAATAAATGCTACCTCTTTCTATAACATTTTTTCCAAAACTGATTATTAACGGAGTTACAGGGTGTTAAAATTAAATTTTATTTGCAGTTTTTTTGCAATACCTTTTACCACACTCATAATATTTTGACGAAATTTCGTATATGGGGGTTTTTCGGGATGAGGATTATAAATTTGCCCACCGTTTTTTCGCATTTTGTAGAGGGCGCCACATACGAGCCTTTATTTTGATTTGAATGGTTCCAACTTTTTTGTGCTACACTTTATGCGACTTTTGACTGAATATTTTTGTTCTCCTAACCTTTTGACATAAAAAAGGTATACTTTATTTGTTTCGATAAATCTAACCGTTTTCGAGAAAAACGCTAAAATAACATTGCTTGCATGTGATGAATACGAAATCATTTTAATTTATTTTCTACATTAAACATAGCATGCTTTGGAAACAAGCGCTTAGTTGCCTTGGAAACAAGTTTGTGGAGAATTAGTTTTGACAGATAGTAATTTTGTACAAGTTCTTTTGTAGTAATTGTTATCATAAAAATAATAATAAAAATGAACAACAATTACTCTAACGTGGAGTTGCGGGACATGCATTATTATTACGGTTTAGCTGCTGGCAATGCTCTTGCAGCACGACGTTTGTATCGCGAAGCATTTCCAAATAGAAACCTACCCCAATCGCGAATGTTCAGTACTATTCATCGAAGACTGGGAGAATTTGGATCGTTCAAAACTAGAATTTTTGATGTAGGTCGACAACGGAATACTAGAACAGCAGAAGCAGAAGCTCGTATTTTGAATTCGATAGAGAATAATCCCAATGTAAGTATAAGAAAAATTGCTATTCAGGAGGGCATTCCAAAGAGCTCCGTACATGAAACAATACGCGAACAAAACCTTCATCCGTACCACTACCAAAAGGTGCAAGCCTTATCTGCCGTAGATCCTGCTGCTCGTGTGAATTTCTGCAATACAATTAGAATACTTCATAATGGTGACCAAAATTTTGTTCGTAATATCCTTTTCACGGACGAAGCTGGATTTGGCCATGATGGCTTAATAAACCTCCACAATGAGCATTTTTGGTCTGATGAGAATCCTAATTTATCAATAGAGCGTGGTTATCAAAATAAGTTTTCCGTCAAAGTGTGGGCCGGTATTGTAGGGGACTACTTAATTGGGCTACATTTCTTTCCACAAAGACTCAATGGTGAAGTTTACTTGGATTTTTTAAGAAACCACTTACCTGTTCTATTGGAAGATGTACTACTAGGATTAAGAAATGCAATGTGGCTGCTTCAAGATGGCGCGCCACCGCATTTTAGTTTAGCGGCCAGAGAATTCTTAAATGAAACTTTTCCTGAAAGGTGGATAGGACGCGGTGGTTTTGTACAGTGGGCCCCTAGAACCCCCAACTTAAACCCAATCGATTTCTTTTTTTAGGGCTATCTGAAGACGCTTGTATACAGGACACCTGTGAATAGCGTCGATGAACTGAGAGAAAGAATTGTTGCTAATTGTGAGGTAATTAAGCAAAAGGAAGGAATATTCCATAGAGTTTGTCGGAATTTTTTAAGAAGAATTAATTTATGCATTGAAGAGAAAGGACGTCACTTTGAACCTTTGCATTTGAATGTTTAATTTGTATTTATATTGTTTTAGTAACTTATGTATTTTAACCTTATGATTTTGTTAGTAAACCATTTTTTATTTGTTGAGGACATGCATTATTATTTATCATTAACCACCATCAGCGTAACAACAAATTTTCACAAAAATTACTATCTGTCAGAACTAATTCTCCACAAACTTGTTTCCAAGGCAACTAAGCGCTTGTTTCCAAAGCATGCTATGTTTAATGTAGAAAATAAATTAAAATGATTTCGTATTCATCACATGCAAGCAATGTTATTTTAGCGTTTTTCTCGAAAACGGTTAGATTTATCGAAACAAATAAAGTATACCTTTTTTATGTCAAAAGGTTAGG